TTATTTATGTTAGAGAGAAAGCACATGTGAGGAAGAGAAGGAGCCAGGGGTGGGGGAGAAAAGCAGACTCCCTACTGAGCATGGACTTTCCCCCCACCCTGTGCAGGGCTCCATCTCGCAACCATGAGACTATGACCTGAACTGAAATCCAGAGTTGGGCACTTAACCAAATGAGCCACCCAGTCACCCCTCCTTGGTTATTTTGGTAAATTAGACAAAGTATATTTTTAGAAAACAAACTTAGAGCAGTGAAAGTGCACAAAGAGCTTAACTATTTAGTCACTTTAATTCATTATATTTTAGGACATTTTATCTGTTCTATTCTCATTTAATGTATTATCATAATGAGTCATCCTTATATCAAACATAAGATATGAGGTATTAATTTGGAAATGCTAGTTCCTTTCTTTTCTGAAAAGAATTCTGCATCTTCATCTTCCTTCTTTCTGCTTTCTTAATTTTCTTAGTGTATGTAGAACATGTAAATGTTTGTTTCTATTTTGTTAGTTTCATTGGTTTGCTGCCTACAAAGAATAACACATATTTATTATAAAAATGTCACTCAGCACAGAAAGACTTAAAGAATAAATTATTTGAATTTCATGAAATGATGCTATTCAGAGATAACCAGTATCATTATTTTGGTAAATCTCCTTCTAAGTCTTTTTCTAGGTATAGATATATAGATGAGTGGGGGAGGATCAAGATGGCAGAGGAGTAGGAGACCTAAATTTCCTCTGGTCCCAGGAATTCAGCTAGATAGTTATCAAACCATTCTGAATACCTACAAACGCAGCAAGAGATAAAAAAAAAAAAAAAAAAAAGAATAGCAGCAATTCTGTGGACAGAAAAGAGACCATTTTCTGGAAGGTAGGACTTGGAGAGAAGTGAATCTGAGATGATATATGGGACAATAGACTACAGGGGGTGGGGCCAGCTCCCAGCAAATGATTGAGCAGCAGAGCACAAAATCAGAACTTTCAGAAGGCTCCTCCATGGAGGGACATCACTCCAGTGGCTAAGCAGGGGAGTGGAATCCTTGCAGTGTGGTCTCAGGATCCTCAGAGTCACAGAAAGACCAGGGGTGCCTGAGTGTGGCAGAACTCCCAGGTATCAGAGTGGGGAAGCTGGCTGTAGAGATGGAGTCGAGGAGTGGGCTCTCAGCTCAGGGTTGCCATAAAACGTGATCTCCAGGACAGTTGGCCACTACTCTTCAAGTAGAGACCCAACAAGCAGCAGCTCTGGAGTGGCACAGGAGCATGCTGTAAGAATCTGCTAGGTTTGGAGACTCCAAATGGGCCATGTGCCAGAGATAGAAATGCTTGGTCAGAAGCCAGGAGAGTTCAGAGTGCAGCCTGAGACCAGAGAGATAAGCATGATTGACTGCTTTTCTCTGAGGACTCACTGAAGAGGGGGGCCCCGAACTCTCAGCTCCTCTGGGGTCAGAGATTGGGAGGCCACCTTCTTCATTCTCATCCTCCAAAGCTGTATGGAAAGCATTCAGGGAACAAAAGCTACTGAGACCAAAACCTAGCAGATTAGTTAGCCTGGCCCCTGGCAAGGGTGGTTCAATTCTGCCTTCGGCAAAGACATTTGAGAATCACTGCAACAGGCCCTTCCCCCAGAAGATCAGCAAGAACATCTAGCCAGGACCAGGTTTACTTACCAATGAGAACTGCAGAACTCCCAGTGCTAGGGGAATACAGCACATAGAATTCATGGCTTTTCCCCCATGATTCTTTAGTTTTTCAAAGTTAAATTTTTAAAATTTTCTTTATGATTTGTTTTTCTATTTTTAAAATCTTTTCCTTTTTGCTGTATTTTTAAAAAGATTTTATTTATTTATTTGAGAGACAGACAGACAGACAGACAGCATGAGAGGGGAAAGGTCAGAGGGAGAAGCAGACTCCCTGCCAAGCAGGGAGCCTCATGCGGGGCTCGATCTTGGGACTCCAGGATCATGACCTGAGCCGAAGGCAGTCACTTAACCAACTGAGCCACCCAGGTGCCCTCCTCTTTGCTATTTTAACCAACATCTTATCAATACCTTTTTAAAAATGTTTTTAAATTTTCATTTTAATAGTCATATTCTATCCCTTCATTGTATTTAACCTTATTTTTTGTACATATAAGCTTTTCTTTCTTTAAAATTTTGGGGATAGTTTCTTCTAATAGACTAAAATATACTCTAAATCTAGTGTATGGCTTTGTTTTAGTCTCCCGTCTGATCACATTCTCTCCTTTTTTTTTTTGTTAAATTTTTTTCTTTCTTTTTTCAACCAACTTATTATCTTATTAATTCCTTTTTAAAAATCTTTTAAAATTTTCATTCTTATAGTCTTATTCTATCACTTCATCAAATTTACCCTTATTTTTGTATACATATGTTTTTCTTTCTTTAAAATTTTGGGAGGCAGTTTCTTCTAACAGGCCAAAATACACCCCAAATCAAGTGTATGGCTCTATTCTATTTGCCAGCCTGGTCATATATATATTTTTTTCCTTTCTTTTCCTCCTGATTTTGGGTCTCTTCTGATTTGTTTAGTGTATATTTTTCTGGGGTCTTTGTTACCGTTTTAGTGTTTTGTTCTTTCATTCATCTATTTTGTTCTGGACAAAATAACAAAGCAGAAAAACTCACCTCAAAAAAAGAACAAGAGGCAATACTGACGACTAGGGACCTAATCAATACAGACATTAAGAAGCTATCAGAACTAGAGATCAGAATGATGATTATAAAGATGCTAGCTGGGCTTGAAAAAGCATAGAAGATACTAGAGAATCCCTTTCTGGAGAAATGAAAGAACTAAAATCTAACCAAGTTGAAATAAAAAAAGCTGTTAATGAGATGCGATCAAGAATTGTTACTGCTCGGATAAATGAAGCAGAAGAGAGAGTTAGTGATACGGAAGACCAAATGATGGAGAATAAAGAAGCTGAAAAAAAGAGAGATAAACAACTGCTGGATCATGAGGGGAGAATTTGAGAGATAAGTGATACCATAAGATGAAACAATATTAGAATAATTGGGATCCCAGAAGAAGAAGAAAGAGAGAGGGGGGCAGAAGGTATAGTGTAGCAGATTATAGTGGAGAACTTCCCTAATTTGGGAAAGGAAACAGGAATCAGAATCCAAGGGGCACAGAGAAACCCCCCTCAAAATCAATAAAAAATAGGTCCACACCCTGTCATCTAATAGTAAAACTTACAAGACTCAGAGACAAAGAGAAAATCCTGAAAGTAGCTTGGGACAAGAGGTCTGTAACCCACAACGGCAGAAATATTAGATTGGCAGGAGACCTATCCACAGAGACGTGGCAGGCCAGAAAGGACTGGCATGATATATTTAGAGCACTAAGTGAGAAAAATATGCAGCCAAGAATACTATATCCAGCTAGGCTGTCATTGAAAATAGAAGGAGAGATAAAAATCTTCTAGGACAAACAAAAACTAAAAGAATTTGGAAACACCAAACCAGCCCTACAGGAAATAACAAAAGGGGTCCTCTAAGCAAAGACAGAGCCTAAAAGTAACATAAACCAGAAAGGAACAGAGACAATATACAGTAATATTCACCTTACAGGCAATACAATGGCACTAAATTCATATCTTTCAGTAGTTACCCTGAATGTAAATGGGCTAAATGCCCCAATCAAAAGACACAGGGTATCAGAATGGATTAAAAAAAGAAGACCCATATGTATGCTGTCTTCAAGAGACTGATTTTAGGCCCAAAGACACCTCCAGATTTATAGTGAGGGGCTAGAAAATCATTTACCATGATAATGGACATCAAAAGAAAGCTGGAGTGGCTATCCTTTTATCAGATAAATTAGATTTTTAAACCAAAGACTATAAAAAGAGATGCAGAAGGACACTATATCCTAGTTAAAGGATCTGTACAACAAGAAGATCAAAAAAGTGTAAATATCTATACCCCTAACATGGGAGCAACTAATTATATAAACCAATTAATAACAAAAATCAAAGAAACACATCAACAATAATACAATAATATAGGGGACTTTAACACCCTCCTCACTGAAATGGGCAGATCATCTAAGCAAAGGATCAACAAGGAATAAAGACTTTACATGACATACTAGACCAGATGGACATCACAGATATATTCAGAACATTCCATCCCAAACAAGAGAATACACATTATTCTCTAGTGCACACGGAACATTCTCCAGATTCTCCTGGGTCACAAGTCAGGTCTCAACCAGTACCAAAGATTGGGATCATTCCCTGCATATTTCAGACCACCGTGCTTTGAAACTAGAACTCAACTACAAGAGAAAATTGGAAGGAACTCAAATGCATGGAGGCTAAAGAGCATCCTACTAAAGAATGAATGGGCCAACCAGGAAATTAAAGAAGAATTTTAAAAATTCATGGAAACAAACAAAAATAATAAAAAAAAAAAACTGTTCAAAATCTTTGGGATGCAGCAAAGGGGGTCCTAAGAGTAAAGTATATAGCAATACACAGATGATATTTTATGTTGAGATCATACTATTAATGTAGTTTTGCACCTGCTTTTTTGCATCTAATAATATGCTGTGGACATTTTTATGTCAATGAATATAGGTATAGACCATTCTTTTTCAATGGCAGTCATTGCATGATGTATCAGAATTAATTTAAGACATCTCCTGTTGCCAGACATCCTGTGCAAAAATCGAGAAATTTATACGTACTATTTTTGAGAATTCATAGATTCTTTGAAGTCAATTCACAGACTCTTTAGGATCTCAGTCCATGAATCTAAGTGAAGAATCCCTGAATGAGATGATTTTAAAGTTGCTTTCTCTTTTTAACACTTACACACACACACACACCCCTTACATACACATCATGCTCACGTCACACACAGAATTTTAATGTGTATTTGGAAAAGCTTTGACACCTGCTTGATATAGAACATAGTCTTATAAAACCTCTGTAAAATCACTTGACTGGGTATAGTTATTGGAATGAATTTCCATTTATTTCAGGTTCTTCAATGGCGAGCCCACCAGGAAGAGGTAGCACGATTGGAAATGGAAATTTCTGCCAGAAGAAGAGAAAAGGAGAAGGAGAAAGAGAAGCTTTGGAAGGAGAAGGAATTGTTACAAAGAACAGAGATGAAAAAGAAAGTATGAAATCTGCTATTTCTGCGAATGTGTGAATGAATGTTCAGTTGTCTGAGTTCTGATTATCTTGGTGTTTGACATGGAATCATCATAGGCAGTTCTTAGAAAGATTCATAAGGTTCTAGTGGAGTCTTGCTTCAGTTCATTTAAGCTTCAAAATTTGTGGATATGGAGGAGAATCCACTTTATTAACCTGCATGAGCACAGGTACTTGTGATTAGAAGAAAGGCCGTAAGGAAAGAAAAGTCAGGGTTTATGACTTGTTAAATCTTGTTCTAAGTAGGAACATGCAAAGGTAACATTTTGGTTGACTGCAGTGTAGCAACCAACTGTCAAAAGAGGTCTTTGCTAGTAAAATACATTGTACCAAGGTCAGAGCAGCTTATGGCACACCAGAAGGCCCTTTAAGGAATTTACTTCCTGACTTATTATTTGTTAGATTGTTTTTCATTTGCTGACACGAATTCATCACTCTACTTTTGAGCAAACATTTGCTTCCCAGTTTTCAAAAAATTAATCACAACTCTTATTAACAGCTTCAAAATGATTGCTGATATTCCATGGAAGGAAAAAAGTGAATTTGAGATGTGATTTTAAACATGTGTCTGGGGTATTTATTTAGATGTTTTTGTTTATTTTATCAATTTTTGTGGTGTAAACAAACACATTAGTACTCATCACCTAGCATTGAAACTCTTAAGGTTTTTTATTCTTTTATAGATTTATTTTATTTTACAGATTACATTGAAGTCCTCTCTTGAGGATGTACTCGGTACCATTTTCCTTCTTACCTCCCCAAAGCCAGTCTTGATCATAAATTTTATTCCTATCTTTACAGGCCATCAATTGCTTTTAACATTTTTTTTAAAAGATTTTATTTATTTATTTTACAGAGATCTGTAAATTGCTTATTAGTACTTTTTGTTTGTCTGTTTTTCTTTATTAATCTGTAGAAGTTATTTATAAATTCTGGATACTATTTCTTTTTGTCAGTTATACTTTCTTTCATTGGTCATCTTTGCCTTTAAATTTGGTCTATAGTGTCTACGGTTCAATGGAAATTTAAAATGATCAAGTAATCAAAGTTATTAAACTTTTCTCCTTTGCAAACTGTGCTTTCCTTTATGAAGCATGACCTGATAGTGAGAGCATCTTTAGAGTTCTTGATCACTTCTGCTTAGGACCCTGTACATTTTACTGGCCCAGGACTAGTGCATGTATTGTGTGAGATTTGGGACCTGTGCTGTGAGATTGCAGTGTTAACTTAGCACTCATACACAGCACCAGCCTGGCTTCCTCTGATGACCCTTCTCCTTCTCTGGTCCTAACCAGAAAGTTAGCCCCCTTATCACTTTTCTGGGGAGTGGTCTTGGTGTGTCTGAGTCTCACTGTGTGCATGGACAAGTCCTACAGGACTTCTTGCTCTTCTTAAGAGGCATGATTCCAGCTCCCGTGCACAAAAGTCTCATAGCTACTGTTAAAGACCCAGCCACCAGCTCCTCAGGCCTGTCTCAGGCCCAGTTCTGTACAAGAACCCTTTGGCTCTGGCAGCCTCTTACTGCTCTGACTTTGAGTTCCATCTTTATCTTCAGCACTGGGGCATTTGTGTGTGTTTGTGTGCAGTTGTATTATAGTTTGTCCAAAATTTCTATGTGTTTAAAGTAGGAAAGGAGATTTCTATGTCCACTCAGACAAACTGACCAAAGTTGTGGCTGCCTTTATATATACTATGAATCCAGACTCTCTTTGTTCTATTTTCTATGCTAGAGACAAATTTTAGTTCTTTACTGTTTGGCAGAAACCCTCCTTTAGTTTCTCAAATCAGAAGCTCCCCATGACTTGAGACTGCTTGCTTTGTTAGCTGGTGCTCTGGTTTTCCTCATCTACTGTTTCACCTGCCTGGATTTCTCTTCTCATAAGCTAGCAGCCATAGAGGTAGAAAAACTATTCCATGTATAATACCCCACCTGAGGATTTCTGAATAACAGATCGTCTTTTTCCTAATTCTTCTTCTCAGCAACTTGTCTTTTAGGGAATGACACTGCCTTTTTGCTGGAATAACATTTTTAATTTGTATTCCAAAGTTTACCCTGGTAGATGCCCAACTCTTTTCAAATCGACATTTAAATTAGATTACTTTTTCTTCTGTGCTTTAAAACTTGAGTTGAACATAGGATACCCAGTTTTCATAGTTTTATCTCAAGACTCAAAGTAAGTTGTTATTCCTAGGCTGTTAGGTGATAATGGTAATATTTCAGAAACATCTCTTCACTTTTGATATTATTGTCATGATAAAAATCAAAGAATAATGTCTTTCCATAAACTATCCCTAGGAGCTATTTAAGAAACAAAATTACTGTGCTAGGTGAACCTTAAAATGCCTGATATGTAATATTGGCCCCAGTACCACCCTTTCACTAGATGTAGCATTTTGGATGGCTTGAATAACATAAAAACTACTCTGCATCACAGCGTTTTAGGAGGTTTTTTACTGTTTCATGCCTGGAGTTCAATGGGATTAAAGCAAGGATGGTTTCAGCCTCACTGCAAAAATAGAGATTTCAAGCAAGGCTCATATTAAAAGGAGACAGATTCCTTCCTTGCTCTAGCATGTTACATTTCTCTCCCAATTTTACTGGTTCCTAATCCAGCACTGAAGCCCCCACATTGTACTGCTGAAGGATGGGAAGCATTATCAGGAAAGTCAGAATAACTTCAACAGCCATGGCCCACCAGCCATGTGACCTTCAGCCTTACCTCTGAGATGTTTCTAGGGAGAAATCTATCATTTTGTGATCTCTCAGCCTCAAGGGACATCATATCAGTAAATATCAATAGACCCACGCATCAGTAGAACCTTGGCACTTACATGGTCCCCCTTGACCTCAGGTGATTTGGTAAATACTCAGAATTACATTCATCCTACAGATAACCAGGAGACAGCAAAAACAGTCTAAAATAAAAAAGGGTAGGTTATCATAAACAGAATGCAGGCTAGAGGGCTAGGCCAGTACTGCTTCCTAGAAGATTTAAGAAGCTCTGCTCTTCGGAGGGTGTCTTCTCAATTCATATCAAAGCTATTCTCTCAGTGTGGGAATCTGTGCATTCTTATGAGAACAATTTATCATGAAATTCCCTCCCCATTGTTTCTTAATCTAATAATATACTGACCTAAAGAGCTAAAAGTAGGGGGGTGGGTAGATAGACACTGAAGAAGGATAAAAAATAAATTCCCAGCCTATAAACTCTACTTCAGGATTGTTGGGACTGAAAGGGGCCAATGAATCACACCTGTGATAAGCGGGCTTCTAAGATAGGCTCCAAGATTTCCTGCCCTCCTGGGATACATATCCTATATAATCACCAGGATTATAACTTCCATGGGTTAGGTTATATTATATGGCACAGACAACCTTGGGAAAGGGAGATTACCCAGAAGGACTTGATCTAGTCACATGAGCTCTTTAAAAGTACAGAGTTTTCTTTGGCTTGTCACAAGAGGGGTCATCAGAGATTTAAAGCATGAAAAGGACATGACTAAATATTTTGGCTTGAAGATTGAGGAGGTCACATGGCAAGGAATGTGGGTAAACTCTAGCAGCGGAAAGTGGTCCTGGCTGACAGCCAGAAGGGAAATGGGAACCTGTAACCTATAGTCCTACGACTGTGAGGAACTGAATTCCACCAAAACCAAGAATGAGCTTGGAAACATATTTTCCTCTGAAGCTTCCAGGTGAGAACTCAGTTTTGTCAGCACCTTGATTTCGTTCTTGTGATATCATGGGCAAAGAGTTCAGGGACACCATGCTGGACTTCTGACTTAAAGGAGTCTGAGTTCATAAGTAAGTTTGGTCTAAGCTGCTAAATTTGTGTTAAGTGTTACACAGCAGTTAAAAAACTAGTACAGTTTTTGATATCTAGAAGTGAATTGTTGCCGTAACAAATACCTGAAAATGTGGAATGGAATTAGGAAGTGGGAAGAAGTAGGAAGAATTTTAGGAACATGACAGAAAAAAGTCTAGAATGCCTTCAACTGATTTGGTAAAGATGTGGCTTTCTGAGTCTCAGAAGGAAGTGACGAACATGTTCTTCAACACTGGAGAAAGGATCACTGTTATGTGGTGACAAGAAGCCTAAGGAATTAATTCTGCATTGCAGTTAGGTGGAAAACATTCCTGAGTAATGAACTTCTTATGTGATGAGCAAAGAAGATTACTGAAATGTTGAAGGTGTCACTAGGATTTTTTGCTGCTTACAGTAACAAGGAGAGCTTTGATGCTTTGGGAAAATTCTCCATCTATGTAAATGGCAAAAGACTCCAGAGTTAAGAGATTATTGCCACCATCATGCCATAGAGAAAAGGCTGAAAGTGTGAATGTACAATCCTGTTACAGTGTTGAAAAGATCACAGGGTCAGAGTATTCAGTCATATAAAAGACCCTTCTAGGAGATTAAGGGTGTTTCTCTTAGATCTCAAACTAGAAAGCCTCTGGGAAGTTTAAGGGCAATTTCTCTCAGCCATCTCAATAGAAAACCAAGAGAGAGAGAAAGGATTATCTCAAAAAGACCTGTGGGTGTGTGGCTTTTGTCTAATGGAGTGAATCCTCATAAAATCTGCAAAGGCTCACTTGGTTCTTGCGACAATTTTTCAGAAACACTGCCAGCTTGACTGAAAGGGACAGAGCGAGTATGAAATGAAAGGAGGCTCCTGGACCTCCCAAAATTCTCTTGGCAGGAAGCAGGCTGATGAAACTACTTAGAAAGTTGGCATTCCTAATACTTCTACCACCGGACCAACCTACCCATCTAGGCTCAGGAAAATCTTCGCTTTACTTTTCACCACCTTATACATAGAATGGTTGTATCACCTTCCAGTAAGATATACTGACAGTAGATTGTATATAAACCCAAAGGGGTCACTAAAAGTCCTATTTAGGATTATCATTCATCCATGTATGCATTCATTTATTCATTAAGTATGTACCAAGTGTCTTTAATGTGAC